CACAAGGCAGAGAAAGAACAAGTAATTTGAAAAATTATGCTTGTCATGAGAGATCTTGCAGAAGACAGAAAAAACGCTTCTTATGTGGGAAGAGGCTGGAGATGCTGAAGGCAGCAGACCTGGGCTCTGCCCATGTTTGGTGCAGGCAGGGGGCTGGGATGCAGGATGCTGCTCAGTGCTTGGCAAGGGCTGCCCTCCCTCCTGTCACCTGTCCTTCTAGCTGGGAGATTTTTGCAGAGCCTTTCCTGTTCTGCATCACAGGCAGGCAGCAGGGCTGGAAGGTCCCACTCTGCTCCTTCTCTACCTCCAAGAGCAGGGGCACAGCTTTGTACCCAGTGCTTGCCCAGCACAATCCCTGCCTTCTTCTGTCAAGTGTTCTGGGAAGCACTCATGTTAAGCACCAAGTAGGAGTCACTTCGCTGATAACACAGGAGCTTTTGACCCAACAAGAGATGTGCTATGTTCCCATATCTGCTCTATATTCAGATAGCATCCTGATCCACAGCAATTCAAAGCAGACCATCCTGAGTCTTGCTGCAGCACAGCTCCGTAACCAGCAGCCACCTTCTCTGCTGCTTTCCATCTTTGCACAAAAACCTCCTTGACTTTTCAGGCTGCCTCACCTCAGGATCTCTGCACACTGCCATACTCAGCAGCAGCACATGGAAGCAATGCAACACACACTGCCATGTGCAGCTTGCTGTTCAGCCCTCCATGAAACAGGGTGCCTCGCTGGCCCCCCCCTCCCACCTTCACAACCCTTCTCTACGGCACAGATTTATTTTTCTGATGAAACACAAAGCTGGATCTTACATTTTTACACGAATGTTGGCTGACGGACTTGATCCATAGCACTGAGGAAATTCAGACCCTCTGGCATTTGGTGAAATAACACAGCACATGCAAACTCTGCTCCATAATTGGAACCATTTGTTAGTGCAGCTCTGTGCAGAGGCACACGGGCACCAGGAATGTTTTCCTTCTCCCCAGGTTCGTTTCATGGAGCTCCAGCATCGGAGTCTGGAAGAATTTAGCCGAGTTCATGACCCCCAAAGCCAAGCAAACCCAGTGGTTCAGGAATGTGCGTGCACTGCACCAATCCATGCCTGGCAAGACCCGCACCTTTCGACCCTTTGTTCAAAGAACAACTGAATTCTTTATTTAGCTGCATCACATTCCCTGCTCAGAGCAGCGAGCTATCCCTAGGCTGGCTTGGAGCAGCTAGTGAGCTGCTAACAAGCCTCAGTGCTGGGCACAGAACGGTGTTCGATGGGTCAAGCTCACAGCCAACATTGTGCGCATGGAAACAGAAAGATTGGCAGCATCCTCCCAGCAGAGCTCCCAGTTGCTCCGTGCCCGTGACCCACGGCAGCTCCTTGGGGCCCAACACCAGCAGGTGTCCCCTCATCTCCTGCAGCCCCCAGCACTCTCAGCAATCCAATCCCACGGGCAGCACAGGGCTATTTTCTGCTACACGAGGCATCACAAACCTGGCAGGCATCCCCGGATCGTATGGTCTGACCTGCTGGAGTAGGAAGGCTACAAGCATCGCACTTGCTCTCTGCAATATGGAGCCCACACATACAAACACAAATATTTAGATAAACGGTGGCTGTATTCCAAGCACAGGATTCCCTCTCCAGCCACACCATCACTCCGAGTGCGGGGCCACCACCCCCTCCTATGGCATTTTTGGGAGCGGGGTGCAGCCCAATGGAGGCTGAGCAGGCAGCTCCCTGCAACACCCCCCGGTGCTGGGAGTGAAAACACAAACAAAGCAAAAGGTTGTTCAGCTTCTCAGCCTCCGAGACCATATGGAGCTGAGACATGATTGCATTATTTCTACTGTACTGCAGCAGAACGGAACAGAAAGCTGTAATAAACTACTCGCAGCGTGTCCCTTAGCACAGCGCACAGAGCAAAAAATAACCAGCTAAACAGAAGCGTGCTGAAGGAAGCCGTGTTCCTGGAGGTGAGCTGCAAAGCAAAGGCTCAGGGGCTCTGAGTCACACAGATTTCACAAGGTTAGGTGATGAAATTTCTGCACGCTTTCTTCTCCTCACTCCCTCCCCTTTTGGGATAATTAGATTTGTGCCCAGCCAGTTATGGAGTAGGATGGTTTTTCAGTATGGGCAGGCATGGTAAAGCTATTTGTAAGAGAGCACAAAGCAAATTTGTATGGGATTGGTGTAAGGAGGGGGTGCTGGCAGGTCCAGGTAGAGCTAATGGGTGCTGTTGGCATGGGCCAGAGCTAGCACAATTTCTCTTTGTGCCTTGTGTGTTTAAGCAGCTGAAGAAGCAAGAGCAGAACCGTGCAACCACTGTGATTTCCTGCTGCCTACTGCCCTAATGTGGAGAACCCACATCAAATGGATAATTCCCTCAACCCTTCAGCTCTTGCCCCTGCTGAGTGGGCAGTATCACACTACAGAAGCAGTGACAATCTTGAGACATACAGAGACAATTCTTCCCAGCTTCGATATGACTTTCCTTCAGCCACAAATGCTGATGCCAAAGTGCCAGAATGAATCTCAAGCTCGCAGATTCCCTCACATGATACAGCTTTACACTCATCTTTTCCCATTCTCTCCACTACAAGGCATTCAGACTGGGAGAAATGGCATTGCCAATGCCAGTCAGAGGAAGGGATGCCTCAGTAAATGGTTTGCAGGAGCCAGCTGACAATTCCAAGTCCTCCTCCGAGAAAGCAAGCTGCTTGCAAACAGATTTGCAAGGAGTGAGGGGGGAGAAAAAAATCTGTTAAATTACTCATTCTGGAGACATTTAAAACAGAGAAGTAAAGGATTCCTCAACACTCTGCAACACAGTGCAAAGATCCTCCAATATTTCTTCTGAAACTGCAGCAGAACTGCAAGGACAACATTGCTGATCTCAGTCCCATTGCAGGGCTCACCCAACCCAACCACCCAAGGTTGGGATCAGCTGCAGTAAAAATGGCCACATATCCATGTTGTCCTCCATCATGCACTTCAAGACCTAACAAACCATGGAAGTTTGCTGCAGGCCTCTAGGATATTGGGAAATATCCTCTTCATAGAGTCATAGAATGGCCTGGGTTGAAAAGGATCACAATGCTCATCCAGTTCCAACCCCCTGCTGTGTGCAGGTCGCCAACCAGCAGCCCAGGCTGCCCAGAGCCACATCCAGCCTGGCCTTGAATGCCTGCAGGGATGGGGCATCCACAGCCTCCTTGGGCAACCTGTGCCAGTGCCTCACCACCCTCTGAGTGAAAAACTTCCTCCTGATATCCAACCTAAACCTCCCCTGTCTCAGTTTAAAACCATCCCCCCTTGTCCTCTCACTGTCCACTCTCATAAACAGCCATTCCCCCTCCTGTTTATACGCTCCCTCTTGGAAAGAGTGGTGGGGCACTGGCACAGGCTGCTCAGGTAAGTGGTGGAGTCACCATCATGGAGATGTGGCACTTGGGTACATGGTTAGTGGGCATGGAAAGGTGTTGGCCATGATGAACTTCATGGTCTTTTCCAACCTTAGTGAGTTTGTGGGCTATACCACGAGGGATGGAGGAACCATCCCTGTCCTCACTCCCCAGCTGCTGTTAGCAGCTCTGTGCCCAGGGAGCAGGCGCAGGGCTGCGGCAGTGCTCCGAGTCCTTGGCCAACCTTCGCAGTGCCCCAGCCAAGCAATTGCAGCTGGCGCCTCTCGTCCCCAGCATGGGAGTTTATGAGGCTGTGGCCCACATCAGAGTTATTGTGCTGTGTTAAATTTATTGGTGCTATCTCACCTCATTAAATACTTAAATAGACCTGACAAGACAGAAAAATGGGACTTTAGGAAGAAAAAAAAAAAAAAAAAAAAACGAACAGGAAGCTGGTGTTCAGATGGCTTGAGTCACCTTTAACACAACAAGCTGCACGTTGGGAAAGGACAGGGCGCAGGAGTGAGCTGGGAGAGGTTTTACAGCATGGTGCTCAGCACCCAGAAAGCCCCATCCCTACAGGAAAGACTGCAGCATCCGGTACTTAAAGCCCATTTCCAGAAAAGCACTCATTTCCACTGAAATATTTGCACGAGGAAGGAGAGGATGAAAGACAAGCAGGACCATGTCACCAGTGGCATTGGCCTTGTGCATGCTGAGCTTTCCTCTCCACACAGCACTCAGCCCCTGCACTCTGCAGCCCTGCCAGGCAGCTCCTGGAGAATTTCGGGGCAGATTATTTAAAGACTCCATTTGTTCTGTGCTCTTAACCTTCAGTGCAATTACCTGCCTGCTTTACTCCAGAGCCGTTTCCCTGCTTCGCTGGCCAGAGCTGGGGGGCTGGGAGCACCCTGCAGTGTGCTGGGAACCTGCAGTCCTTCCCTCTGTGCTCCCAGCAGACACCACACTTAATTTTGATTTAGTGGGACAGCAACGGTATAAAGGCTGCAGGAGACCATTACCCTGTGACAATGTTCTGTTCCACTGTTATTGCTTCATTAATTAAGTACCAATTGACTATTAATTGCAGGAGGTATTTATTATGGGAGAGAATCAGTTACCAAGTAGTAAAAGGTCAATAAGAGGTCCAGCCCGTCGGCAGGTATTTATCCAGAGAGATGCCCTCCAAAACATCTGCACCTACAGGAAGATTGTGCTCACATTCAACCCTGGTGCTTTCCGAGCGCTCAGCCCTTCTGCAATCACACCTTTACAGAAATGCAGACCTCTGGATGAAAGGGGCAACGCGTTGACCTGCCACTGTTTTGCTGCTTTGGGACTATTATACACACGAAAGGAAACACCACCACTGACAGGAGTGACGGATCTCTCCCCCTCCTCCTCCTCCATTTCTCTCCTGTTGGTACACCTGAATTTAGCCAACAAGGATTTCTGACCCATCAGCATCGAGCAGCAGATGAAGAGTTCTGCCCAGAAGGCTGCAACTGGTGGGAGCAACAGGCCCAGAGTTGTGTTTCCCCAGGCGGTGCTCAGCCCACCAGAGTCTCTTAAGGAAAAGATACTCCTGAAATCTTAGAAGTGAATTGTTACAGAAGTATTTTTATTTGCCTTCAGAGAGCCATCCCTCACTTGGGCAGACTCGCTCAGCATCCTTCCCACTGCCTGCATGGGAAATGAAGCACCAGCGTTCCACAACTCGTCTCCATTGACCGCAGACGTTGCCACAAAGAAAGCATGTGTGAATTTAAGTGACAAGCCATGCAAACTTCAGCTAATTGATATGAGGTCACGTTTCCCTCTTTAGGTTGCTCTCTCAGCCTTTCGAATGGGCTTTAAAGTGACTCCAGGCTAATGTGCTTCAGACCTGAAAGGAGATTTGGGGAGGAATAAGCTGCATTTCTCACCAAAGAGCTCCACTCTTACAATGACAGAGATTATCTGAAGAGACCTTCACTCTCATTTAACAAATTAAATGAGTAGATTTTCAGGAGTTCAGCATCTGAAGTACTGCACTGGTTTTGAGAAGCCTGGCTGTAAATGTCACCGTGTGTGGCCCTTTAGAAAAATCTAACTGCAGTAATGGGTGGGAACTTCCAAAACCCAAATCCTCAGAGCTGTGGAAGCACTGACCCTAACCCAATCCTATTCTGAACCAGACACCCATTATCGGATGGGAAATTTACTTCTTACCTTCACTTCTATTTCACGTGAAAGCATTATAAAAGGAGGAAGATGATCAGAGGGCTGAGCATCACTTTCTCTTCGTTTCCCACCCATAGCACTGCCCATGCCATGCCCCTCCAGCTCCCAGCATCAGCACCCCATCATTCCCTGCCCCACCCATAGGGATGCTCCTCCAACCCAGGGCAGCTCACATGAAAAAGCAGAGGGCTTTTCTTTTAGCAGAGCCAAAGCTTCCCTACAAACGAGCCAAGCCATCTCCATACCATTTTTTCCCTGTTCAGAAGGAATGTGGAGGTAGGTCTGGAGGGGAAACACAGCATGTTGATTTAGCTCCTCTCTGACTGCACGCACACCCAGGGAGCCCTGTGCTCTGCCAGCTGACAGGAACAAGTCATTAGGGCCATCAGCAGCACAGCCACAGAGGGGAGAGCGGCAGCATTCTTGCATTGCACGGGATGTACGATCACACAGCATCACAAGGACTGCGATCCTCAACGCTACAGCAGCTCAGCCCTATCCAGGAACAAGCACTGCTGGCAGCGAAGAGGCCACAGGCAAAATAAATAAATAAAATCATAGGATAAAAGCAGAAGAGATCAGCCAGACTGAGATCACGGCTCGCATGCACCACTGTGAATCAAGCCTTGCATGTGCTGGGAAAGCTCCGAGAGCTGTGGAGCAGGGACAAGCTGATTATTGGCAGAGCAGGATGCCCAGGCTGCTGCCTTGCCGCTATGCCTGCCCCAGGCAGGGGCTGAGGGCTGTGTGTTGACTCCAGAAGAGAATGCACAGCAAAGCACAGACCTGAAACCCCAACCTGCCCTCGGTGCTGAGCAGCTTTCCTTCTTTGTTTCGCTTACAGCTGCCACGCTTCCCCTTGAAGCGGCTCAAGTTTCGCTTTGCTCACTTCTGCCTTCTCAGATTTTACTATTATTATCCCTTCATTTTGCAAACTTCTCACATGCCTTCAGGCCAGACCCAGGAAACAGCTGAACGAGGCAGCTGATGAGACAGGGTACAAAGGGAACGCAGTTGTTTGGGAGAGGGGAGGCCCTACATCTGTTCCCGCCTGCACCGGGGACCTGATGCATCATCTCCAGCACAGCACCTCCCTCCTCGGTGCTTTGCTCACACTTTTGCCTCAGAGTGGCCTTTGGAGATGTACTTAGTGGGCATGGGCTTGGCGATCTTGGAAGTCTTTTCCAACCTTAATGATTCCATGCGGCTTGCAGCACGCTGCTGCTATCAATGGGGAGGAGGTGCCACAGTCCCCTGCAAGCATTCTGCTCGTTGCCATTTGCACCCTTCCCTTCCTTTGCTCTCAACCCCACGAGACTGAGTGCACCACTGCACCCAAATGCACAAAGCCAGGTTGAAAGCGATCCATTTAACATGCAGAGAATGAATTCTTTAAAAAGTGCCCTAAAAAGCAGCTACACACTGCAGGAAAAAGGGGAGTTTCATGTATTGAACAATAATAGCAAGATATTATCAATGTAGGGCTCTGATTGTGCCATATAAAAAATAAAATACACACTGGTTAATCAAAGAACTACAGACACTTTTAAGTAATCCCAACTCTGGCTTTGCATAGCTCCATATACTGCCAGCAGCACTCCTGTCAACCACAAGAGACCATCATATACATCAAAAATTCTCCTTTAAATTTATTTTCTGTAAAGATTGGTCTTTTGAACTGCAGTGGTGGAAGCTTAAGGGTACAAAAATCTGTCTTTTTTGTCTCTCCCTCTTGTGGAGGATGCTGATCTGTGGGGAAAGTGCTGCCACAAGCTTCTATGTCTTGTCAAGATACCCGTCCTTTTCATGGATCACTTCTCTTATCAGCCCCTTGATTAAGACATTAAAAGAAAGGAGGTGAAGGAAGGTTGTGCAGCTGGAAAGAGGCAGCAAAAGGCATCCAGGGCTGCGTACAACCTCCAGCCTTGCTGCATGGCCTGGCCAGTTCTCATCCCAATTCCCGGCCTTGAAGAAGCAGGACTGCAGCTAAATTAGCAGCTACTGTAATAAAACGATTTATTATTGTGTCAAAAAGGGGGAATTACGCTTTTACTGCCTAAAAGCATCAAGAAGAGTTGACCTTACGGCAACAACACGGTTGGCTGGGAGCCCTGGGGTTGGCTGGGAGCCCAGCGTTTTGAGGGACTGGGGCTCAGATGTGAGCTCCTATCAGAGATAAAAGTGGAACATCGCTGCCTCGACTTCCCCGAAACTGCTTAATATTCAGAGCTCTCTCCATTGTCAAAGAACTCCACAGAAGTTAAATTAAATACGTACACTTCCCCTGTGAGACATCAAAGCGTTATCGTACGAGTGGGGAAACAAAACACCGACACAAAGCCAAGAACCAGGATTTGGAGGTGCGTTTCAGAACATGCACCAACACATACGCCTACTCCAGATGAGGCTTTAAAGTGCTGCACAGAGCCCTAGGCACACTAAATGTCTTCTCGATCCCAGGGCGCGTTACCAAAAGGCATTCATAAAAAGTTTCGACTTCTTTGTGCAGAACGTGGTTAGTCTGGATAGACAAAGAGATGAAGCAATTTTCTTGTACAATAACTCGAAAGTAAAGGGAAGACTGCAGAACCATCAGGCCTCCTGCTGCTGCTCAGCACCAGCAAGGCAAACAAGGCAGCGGGAAGGCAGAAATGCCCAGGGGAAGCCCAGGAATATTAACGTCCAGAGCCAAGGTGAGTTTCTCAGGTCAAAGAGCAGGGCTGCTATTAGGTGATATCCCACAGCAACACCCAGAGCAAACCACCACAGCCCAGAGATAACGTCTGCAATGCTCCCATTTTCCAGCTCCCAGCGGAAGGTGCGGGAGAAGATTAAGAAGTTGGTTCAGTTTATTAAAATCCAAGATCAAATTCCCAGTAGATGCTCCAGACTCCCCGGTGTAACAAGTGCATTAAGGGAGAGAAAGCACATCCTGACAAATGTATTTACAGCCTTTAATAATTCATGCTCGCATATGCAGCCCCCGATAGAGTGCAGTCCCTTGGAAATCACAAGCTTTTGTGGATTGCACAGATTCAGCTAATGTCTTCATAAAAGGTTCCCAACCAAACCTGCTCTCAATATCAACTGCAGCAAAGAAAAACTAATAGCTCCAGCTGGTACTCATTGAAAAGTCACTTAATATTTCACCATGCAAGGAGCTATGTTTAATGGGACACATTGTTTTTCCCTAAGCATTTGGAAAACCCCTTGACATCATATTAATAATGTCAAGTTTTATTGGCTCTCTGATTTGAAATGATATTAAACTTTTCAGACTGTCTCAGCTGAAGTAGGAAGCTGTTAAGATGTGGACAGCTTGGATAACAGGAAAAATAATAGGTCTTGTCAGACATTGCTTCAAGACCGCAGAGGAATGATGTAAAAATCAAGGAATGAGGCATTTATCCTTTATGCTAGCTCGAGAGGAAATGCGTTTTGTGAGTAGAAGCAGTGGCTCCGTGTGGAAGATGCTTGACCTCTGGCCATCAGCATTGGACGGCCTGGGATGAAAGGGACCTTGAAGATCATCCATTTCCACTCACTGCCACAGGCTGGTTGTGTTGAAGGTCCTTTTATACATCTCATGCATGCAATTTACTTATGCAGCCTCATTCCCTAACATGCAGTTAAGCTGAATTACTTTCTGCGTAAGTTGCTCTATGTGAAAAAAGTCAATTAAATTCACACAAAACTAGCAACTCGTGTATTATTTTCATGTATGTGTTCTCAGCTCGTCTGCTGTCAAACAACTCCTCATTACCAGGTTATTCTGGACCACTGATTTAAAAGAAATCCACATTTGACAACCCAATACTGTTCAGCACACCTCAAGGATGGTAGTTTAAATTGCACCTTTTGTTTTGCATGACATCAGATGGTCATATTGTGACTTGGTTCATCCAGAGGTTGCAGCAGTCCCTCCCCAGGTTCAGTCTACAGCTCCAGAGCTGATGGAATTTACTTTGCTCCATTAAGACGTGTTACTGCTGCTGCATGCCAAGCAGCAGGAACAGACGCACAGGGTATGAATCCTTCTGAGACCACACAGCTCTCCACACTCTTCCAAAACAGCGTTCCCAAATCTCTTCACCAAGGCTCAGGTTACTAACAGAACCTGCTAATAAGACACATCTGCTTAGACTGCCTCTAGAGGAGCCCCTTTTGCCAGTTGGATATTCAGCCATGCACATCAGCATGAAACACACAGCTGTGCCACGCACCCGAGGTGCCTTTGTTTGGCCACCCAGCTACTTGGGGATGCTCTGTCATTCAGCTGTTTGAGACACAGCCTCTGCCTTTGATGCTTCCCCACAACTCTCTCTAAATCTTACTTGTGATTGTGGTTTTTCACTTTAGCAGGCTTGCCGATAGAAGAAGCTAACTCTGCCTGGGCAATGTACAGGGCGAGCTGAGCTTCCCTCATGCAGATTAAGTCCTCCACTTCATCAGAATGTAGCAATTAGCAGTATAATGGACATCTCTTTAAAAGCTCTTTAGACTGAGAGAGACCACTGATGTGAAGATCTGAACACTGGGTAGCATACCTGCAGCTCCTGCTATTCAGACCAGCAGCAACCTAAGATCTTTGATTTCCTATGCCACAATACGTGGCACGCCCCACCATGCATCATCCCTTTGATGTGAATGCACCATGGACTG